AGTTCCTAGCTGGCAGGGAGCCAAAGTATCCCAGCTAGACTCAGGTCCGGGATGAGCTCCTCTGAGTGCCTCTCTGGGCCTGGTTGGGCCTTGGACGCAGGAGGGGCTCACAGGAAGGATCCTGGTCCATGTGCTTTCAGCAGGTTGATGGTCCGGGCCCACGGATGCTTTTTGCCTTGAGGCCTAAAACCTGAACGGTGGGAAGGACCCAGAAGCATGGTCTCTCAGAGGTAAACTGGACTGAGAGATGCTGCCAAGTCCCCAATCCAGCCTAGCAGGATTCCAGCCCCACTCCCAGCTGACCCTAGGTGACTTGAGAAGGCTAGCTGCCAGGCTGAGCCAGAGGCAGCAGGGGACACTGAACGAGCCGCACCCGGAAGAACCCTTCTCTTTGACTCAGGGTGACTTGCAACCTCCAGAACAGGCAGGTGTGGTCCAGACACACCTGGCTTGCTGTGCTGTGCCTCCAAGGGGGGCAAGGAGGCTTTTGTATGCAGCAGAGGCAGCCAGGCCTTACAGAGCATGTGACCCTGGCCAAACTGCCTAACCATTCTAGGCCCTCAGTGGGCCTAGAGCCTTCTATGGCCTGTGGAGAGAGGGGCATTGTGGGTAAATGAGATCTGAGTCACTGTCACACTCTCCGGGTGTCCCTTGCTGGGGTGTGCTCAGCCCCTGATCTTCAATACAGAGTTGCCTCCGGCTGCCAGTCAGGGAGTTGCCCCCCCCCCCCCCCCCGCATGCCCTGATGCTCTCTGGTCTCTCTGGCTGTCCTTAGCGTCTGTAGCAACCATCCTCCTGAGGTATCACCCATGGCAGACGAACCTCTCTTCAAATCCAGTGGCCAAATGTGTTAGGGCCTTGGCCACTGACTTCACAGTTCAGGCCCCAGTGTCCCCACCAGTACCTCAGGTCATTATAAAAGCTAGCAAGCTCCGCCTACACCTTGCGCTCTCTGCACCTGTCCCCTGACTGCCCTGCTCTGGTCTCACTTTGGCTCCGATGAGCTATTAGGAGACCACTGGACTGGCTGGGTTCCTGACTGTCCTGTTTTCCTCCGCATTCCCTTCCCAGACACATGCTGCTGGGGAGACCTCCTCACACACAGAGCAGAGTGAGTGGCCCTAAGGAATGTCACTGGAGGGGCCGAGGACAGAACCAGGTTCCTAGGGTCCCACAGAGTCTCCAAATCCCTAGCTCCTCCCATCACCTCCTTACTGGCATGTTTGTGTGCCTGTGTGGAGCGTTTGGTGCCTCCATGTCATGTGTAGCACGCGCATGAGTGTATAGTGTATACATGTGTGTGTGTGTGTATGTAATGTGGGGCACATGTATGCATGTGTATGCTGGGTGTATGTGTATTATGTGAGGTATATATATGTATATATGTGGGTTATATATGTGTATATGGGGCACATGTATGCATGTGTATGCTGGGTGTATGTGTATTATGTGAGGTATATATATGTATATATGTGGGTTATATATGTGTATATGCTGGATGTATGTGTGTGGGTATATGTGTTTGTAGTATATGTGGGGGTATGTGTTTGAGGTATGTGTGTGTGCGAGGTATGTGTGTGTGCGAGGTGTGTGGTGTATGTGTGTGGGTATATGTATGTGTATGTGAGTGGGTTTGTGTGTGTATGCATGGGAGTAGACGTGTGGATGTGAGGGTGGATGTGGGCGTGTGTGTATGAGGCGGATGCATTGTACATGTGGGGTGAACATACAAACACATGTGTAACAGTTGCTGGGAGCATCAGGGCAGAGGCCTCACCTCAGCCAAGCAGGACAGGACCAGAGCTGGGCCTGTGGTGTTCGGGGAGGTGCTGTGGGCTGCCAGGGCCGTGTGGATGTTTGTTTGATTTCCCCCGACTTCCAAACTAGTAGAAATTACACACCAAGCATCGATTTAATTAAGTTTTCCGGTGTGTGGCATAATTAGTAAGACACACCACGGAACAGGGTGGGCGGGCCCATCCTCCCCTGCCAGTCAGGAGGCTCTGCCTTTGGGCTACAAAACGTGGCAGCTGAAGGGTAAGGGACACAGTGCTTCCATGGGTGTGAGGACTTCCTGTCCACTTGAGGAGAGTTGCAGGTGGTCTCACAGATGACCTTAAGACTGAAAACTGAGTCCCACGAATCCATGGAGCCCCTTCCCTTCCTGAGCATTGGAAGGGCCTGGCTTTTCACCACAACAGCATGCAGCCCTCATTTGACACGGGAACTGTCCAGCCACTGGCCCCATCAAGCGACAGGCTGGCGGTTGTGTGCTCACATAGGCATGGGGCCCTCATGTGCTTTCCCAGGTGGCCTGAGATCCAGCCTGCTCCCCAGCAGTGGCTGCTCCATCCTCCTGGGAAGGGCTTGTCACCATGGGTCAATAGAGTCTGGACACCTGGAGCCAACTACAGCTCAGGCCAGAAGCAGTGACGGGAAGCACTGTTGGAAACCAGCCAGCCTGTCGGAAAACCTGAGCCCAAAGTGAGCAGGGGCAGCTCTGAGCTGAAAAGCCCCTGCCTCAGTCTCCACCCCTGGACCTCGGGACCTCCTGTCCTCACTGTGTGTCCTTTGCAGTTGTCAGGGACAACCCCCTCCTCCCAGACAGGGTCTGATTATACAGCCCTGGCTGTCCAGGAACTCGCTCGGAAGACCAGGCTGGCCTCAAACTCAGGGATCCGCCTGCCTCTGCCTCCCAGTGCTGGGATTAAAGGCGTGCGCAGCCACCACCCAGCTGACAGGACCTGCTTGTCCTCTTCATCCAGGATTCCTGCTCTTCGAGGCTTAGCCTTCCTGACTACCCTTTTCTCCTAATCATCAGAGGCTGCCAACCTGGGGCCCCAAGTGAAAAACGACAATCTGCCGCCACCCCTCCTGCGCAGAGACCCAGAGTCTACACTCTGCGTGTCCCCATAAGAGTAAACATGTATTAAACCCTTTCTGTGTGCACAGCTAGCATGGATGCTTTAAAGGTATCAAGGAGGTCACAGGCCATTACCTGTTTCCATTCTCCATGCAAGAGCCAAGGCTCGGTGGGCTCTCTGATGCCTTGGTGAAGTGCAAGGGTTTAACGCAGAGCTCGAGCTGCCAGAGCACAGCACACAAGCCTGGCCGGAGTGAAAAACGTCTTCCACTCACCCTCCACCTGTGACTCCGCCCACTCCGCCACCCAGCCTCCTTCTTCCTCTGCCACCCTCCCTCCATCTTTCCCCCCATTTCTTTGTCCACCTTTCTGGCCACAGTTCCACCCATCAAACTGCCATTCTCCAACCCCCCCTCCCCACCATTCTCTCCCCTCTCCTTCACTTATCCTTCCTCCTTTCCATAGCCCAGCCAACGGCCTCCCCCTCCCCCTCCCATCCATTCCCTGCTCCCTCCTGGTGCCCCCTCCTCCAAGAGTCTGCCAGCATCCAGGCTTTATTGAGCAGTTCCCCGGTCTGGGGGCCACACTGGTGAGACTTATCCTGACCTAGATCCACTCACGGGGTGCTGTGTTTTACTGCCCCTTGCCAGGCACTGGTGTGGCTGTTGACAGGTCTCTTGCTGGGGCCCTGTGTTCCCCAGAGCAAGCTCTGCAGGGAGGAAAGGAGCCACCTCAGGGGCGCACGCATGGGATTGCCTTAGGAGGCACAACTACTTTTAACAACAGCCTTAGGAGAGAGACAACTCTGTGCCTTTTTTCTCTCTTTGGGGGAAGAGTGTATCGTGTGTGTGTGTGTGTGTGTGTGTGGTAGATATGATCCAGAGCCTCAGGAGCCTGGAGGCCATGGCTTGCGGTCACCACTGTATGCATCTGCTTGCAGCCCCAAGGCCAGATGCGTAGTCACAAGGCAGCGGCCCCATGCATGAGTCTTATAGCCAGGGAGCCTGTGGTCTGTCCAGAGGCCCAAAGCCCTGGGAGCCCTCACCTGTCTGCTCATGTGTGCCAATGCTCCGTGAACTTTGACCCTGCATTCCACAGTGACAGGAGACAGCAAGCAATCTTGCCCAGACTGACCTGGGCACTTGTGGACCAGCTAACAAGCTCAGCTGTGTGGGACAGGGCTCCCAGGCTGCTGCAGGAGGCCAGTGATGGGGAAATGGAGTCTGCTTGCTCTCCAGGGATGGCCTGACCGCAGCCCCAGTGGCTGGGCTAGGAGACAGATGAGGGCATACGGCCATCACTCTTCACAGACACATCAGAGTTGCATTCCTGAGGGACTAGGAACCCTTGACACTTGTCTATGTTCCCCCAAACCTTTTCCCTTCCAAGGCAGAATTTGGCCTCCTGAAATTCTGTACACTAATAAAATTGTAACTAATTTACATAGGAGATGGGGAATGAGTGGCAGTAGTTGCCATGGAGACCAACTCCCAGGCCCTGCTGTCTCCGCCTCTCCCGAGCAGTTCAGACATCAAGAGATCCCCCTCTGTACTGTGCAGCTGGGGCCAGGACTTCTGCCTTACAGGCACGCTGCTCTACTCGGAACTGAGCTAGCCCTGGGGTGGGGGTGGGGGGCAGCACCAGGTCCCCCCATCATGCTCCCACCGTGGACCTTACTGTCCTCTCTCACACCGGGAGGCCCTTCCCCTCCAGCACAGGCACTGATGGTGACATGTGAGGACAGTTTCCAGGGGCAAGGCACAGCAGCAGCAGAGCCCAGAGCTACCCCCGAAGCTGGTCCTCCTGGATCTCAGGGCTCTGAGGCTGGAGGAGTGGACCAGGCCAGGGGGCAGCCAGAGAGCCCATCTCAAGAGCTGCCTCATTTCAACCCCAAGGCAGCCCCATACAGAAGGCAAGGCCAGTCCCCATTGTGCCCAGAGGAAAGTCCTCGCCTTTGTTAAGAGGAGTTGCTGGAGGCAGAGCCCAGCCTCCTGCCCCTGATGCTGAGCTGCCTCTAGAAAAGCAGAAAACCATCCCAGCAGGGCGGAAGTGAGTGAGCTGGTGTGGGGGTGGTGGGGGTGGGGTGTGTGGAGGATGGGGGCTGTGCTCCTAGAATTTTTTTTCCCTTTGACAAAGTCTCACCATCCAGCCTTGGCTTGGAGCTCACAGAGATCCACCTGCCCTCTGCTTCCAGAGTGCGGGGATTAGAGGTTGTGAGCCAACCGCCATGCCCCACTCCTCAGGTGGGTTAGAGAGATGACCGAGAGTTCCTCCCCAGAGATCCACCGAGAAAAGACTGTTCCGGGCAGAGAGAACAGACAGAGTCCCAGAGGTGAGATCCTTCCCCGAGGGTGGCAAGGACAGGAGAGCTTGGTCAGTTCCTGATCAGTACCTGAGGAGGAGGTAGGTACAGAGCTGAGGTCCGAACAGACCCCACCCAGGATTTGTGGGTTCTGAGGCCTAAGCCCCTTCTTCTGAGAAGGGGAATGTGGAATGCAGATTCCTGGGCCCCATGAGCCACTCTCCCTGGGTGGGTTCTGTTTTAACCATGCAGAGAAAGCTGCAGATTGCTCTGTGGGTGGTGGCCAGAGTCCAGGGCACTGACACATGGGTTTGTTAGCACGGATGGGCAGTGAGAAGGCCTGCAGGTGCAGGGAGGGCAGCAGAGGTTGTGCCAGCTGTCGGGGGGGGGGGGGGGAGGCTGAGCTGGGGGAAGGGAAGAGACGGGCCCTGTGCTGACAGACGAGAGGGGAGGGAGTCCCAGGAGGTTGGGGTCCAGGACATGGAGGGAGGCCTGAGCTTGAGGGAGGACTCCACAGGAACAGCCTTGCTCCCCTTTGCCTGGCAGGACAGCTGGGGTCCCATCGGGTTCCGCCGGCAGTCATCTCAAAACCAAGAAGGATATAAAATGCCTGCTCATGGGTGGGGCTAGTGGGTAAGTGTGAACAATAGGGGCGGGACAGGAAGTGGGGAGTATGTGAGCCTGGTAGAGCATACCCACAGTCTCAGCACTGGAATGAGGCAGGAGGATTGCCACAAGTTTTAGGCCATGTTGAGTTACATACTTTGACTCCAAAAAAAAAAATGTAGCTCTCAGCCCACAGAGCTGTTTGTGTGGTAGATAGAGATGTACTTCTGAGGGCATCTGGAAAGTTCTAGAAGGCCCATACAAGAACTTTTAGGATCATCTTGGACTCTGTTATGTAAGATAAAAGCTCAGACAGATATAGGCTGTGGGGGAATGGCCATGCCCAGAGTTAGAAGCTGCACAGGCCCTGTCTTAGGGTTTCTATTGCCGTGGAGAGACTCCACGGCCACGGCAACCCTTATAAATGAAGGCATTTAATTAGGGCTGGCTTGCAGTTCAGAGGTTTAGTCCATTATTGTCACAGTGAGAGGCATGGCAGCATTGCAGGGTGCTGGAGGAGGACCTGGATGACTTCTACGTCTTGATCCGCAGGAAACAGGAAGTGAACTATCCCAGGGGGCGTGACTTGAGCATAAATGACCCCCCCCAAGCCCGCCTCCACAATGACACACTTCCTCCAACAAGGACACACCTCCAGGAAGTGCCACTCCCTCTATACCAAGCATTCAAACCCGTGAGTCTACGGGGGCCATGCCTACTCAAACCACCACAGGCCCTATGTTGGGCCAAGCGAGGGCGGAAGAGGCCCTGAGGAGGGAGTCATGGCCCGGGCAATGTGGTGGAGAGGCTGAAGAGCTGGGCTGCGGGCTCTGCAGGAAGCTGGTCCTCATGCTAAGACAGAGCCGGCGAGGAGCGGCGCAGAGCCGGCGAGGAGCGGCGCAGAGCCGGCGAGGAGCGGTGCAGAGCCGGCCATCTGGCCTGGAGAAGTCTCACTGCTGGGAGAGCGTGGTGAGGCCCCCAAGAGCCAGCAAAGTGGAGGTGTCCCAGAGGCCTCGAATTCCCCAGAGCCCTGAGAGAGAAGGATACATTCCCCACACCCACTTCAGCCAAGGACACAACAGTAACAGCAGGGCCAGCAGCTCACGGGACATGACCGTCTCTCCTCTCTACCCTGGCAGCCATCCTGAGCTGGGATCCTGTCCCTTCCTTTACCATTCGTTTAAGCACATACTTTTTATTTGTTTTGCTTGTTTTTTCCATTTTCTTCTTTTTATTTTTCAAGACAGGCTTTCTCAGTGTAGCTCTGGCTGTCCTGGATACTCTCTCTATAGACCAACCTGGCCTTGAACTCACAGAGATCCACCTGCCTCTGCCTCCCGAGTGCTGGTGTTAAAGCACCAACACCGCCCAGCAATTTTTATTTCTAAGATTCTATTGTCTTATTGACAACTGGTCTGTGGGTGTGTGCCTCTGTGTGGGTGCTGCATTTAGGTGGAGGTCAGAGTCTAATGCTGGGTGTCTCCCTCACTCAGCCATGCCCTGAGGCCTTTTCCTCGGGGGCTGGAGATTAAACTCCAGGCCTCATGCTTAGGCAGCGAGCACTTTATAGACTAAGCCACCTACCCAGCCCCAACATTCTTTCTTCTTTCTTTCCTCCTCCTCCTCCTTTTGAGACAGGATCCCACTGTGTAGCCCTGGCTGTCCTGTAACTCACTGTGTAGTGCAGGAGAGCCTGCCTCGCCTCTCCAGTACTGGGATTAAATGTGTGCACCCCTATGTTCACCACAAGCCCTGACATTCTTGACCATTCTGAGCTAATGCCCTCCCCGGAGGCAAAAATAAAACTCCTTCCTCCAAGAACGCATTGATCTAGCTTAGGGTTAACCAGGTGAGAGGGTAGAACACGGTGTGACTCTCACACGCCCCTCGCCACAGACTCTGGGAAGCAGAGGGGGCAACCGCAGAAGATTCTGGACTCTCTTCTGTGTGACTAGCCGGGCTCCTCCATGAGGGCAAGCTGACTCACCCAGGACAGCCTGCTGCTTGTCTGCCTAAGTAGTCTACACCTCTGATTCACAGAGAGTCGGTTTACGTAAACCCTGAGGCTCAGGTGGAGGTGGCTGGCTTTTCAAAAAAAATGCAAATTTTCAAAGCTTAGGAGAAAGTTCAGCTACCTTATACCTTGTAGAAAGCAAGCCGCACGCGGAAGCTCTGGAGGGCTAGCCAGCCAGCCAGTGTAGCCAAGTACAAGTTCCAAGTGCAGTGAGAAACCCTGTCTCAAAAGATAAGGTCGGTCTGGAGAGTGGCGAGGAGCTCACGCGTGCCAATCTCCGGCCCCCACATGCACACACATGGACCTTTGTACGTCACCTTCTTCCCTCTGGGACAGCACTAGGTTCTGGGCTTCTGGAGTTTCTCCCAACCACCCAGGCAATCCACAGCTGTCCCCTCCGGTGCTCTCATGATTGTGACAAATGGGTGCCATCTCCCACGTGCCATGCAGCCCTTAAGAGTGGAGGCTGGCTGACTGACTTGCAGCCCCGACTCTCCATGTGCATCCTGGAGCCCCCGGGTTCCATTCTTAGAGCACATGGGTGGGACTTCAGCCGGCCGGCCGTCTCCAGGGAGTCGGGGGAGGGGCTGTGCATTAGCCCCGGCTAGCCAGTCCAGGCTTCTTACTAATGGGTGCAAATGCACTTAGTGCTGAGGCTGCAGCCGGTGCTTGGGGGGGTCTGCCGCTTAATGGCTTTCCTGCCAAAGAGGAAGAAGGATGCCTGGGTAGCCAGACACACAGCCCAGAGGAGATGGACAGACAAGGGCTTGCCTCGTCTGGGACACCTCCCTTCCTCAGACGGCCCCCTCCCAGCAGGGCCAGGGCTGGTCCCAGGCTGGAATGGTGACTGGGCACAGATTGCACTGGACTCTGGAGCAGTGGCCAGTCAGTAGTGCATGCCTCCTAAGTCCCATGGCTCACTTTGTTAGTCCTGAGTGTCACAGGATACTATAAGGCCCTAATCCTCCCTCCAGGCCATTCTTCTTGTTTCTGCCTCTGTTGTATGTCAAAACTTCCTTGGGAGATGCAACATACATTTCTACTGGCTCCAGAAAGGAAGTGTATGACAGGCCAAAGTACGGATACCACCAAGGTCCAACTTGCTGAACCAGTAAGCTTAACTGGAATTACAGGAGTATAGCTGAGGGGTTACTTACAGGGGCAGAGGTGACTCACAGACAGCAGCAACACCGAGGTCCACCCCAGCATGGGTTACAGCTCACAGAGCTGGGAACCTGGCAAACACTGCCTGGACAGTGTCCTTTCTGTGTGACTCGGTTGCTCTAAACCTCTTCCAGACGGCTGGTCTCAGAGTCTACTCTGCAGCTTGTCTTGTCTGAGGGTGACTCTCAGCAGCTTGGCTTGCTTACATCTTGGCAAGAAGGGACTCAGAGAACCTGGTTGATTTGAGGGACTTCCTGAAACCATTTTGAGTTTCCCTTCCGGCTTAAGCAGCTTGCCTGCAGGATGGAATGTTTCGATCTTGGAGGGAAGGGATACTCAATAGCTTCCTGCTGGAAGTCCTCTTGAACAGGATGTCCAAGCACCTTGAGACGCTGCCCTTGTCTTCCCCAGGGCTCCAAGGCCGCTCCTGCCTCCAGGGTGCTGCTGTCGGGAGAAGAGGGGTGTGGGGACCCAGTTGCTAACCTGGGTGGGCTCACCCAGCCAGCACTGTGAGGAGGGTAAAGGGGAAGGAACGGAAGGGAAGCCACGTCATTCGCTTCTGGACCAAACCATGTCTGGAGCCCACTCCTACTAGTGGATTGTTCTCTGACCGGCACCTGTACTTCCTTCCTGGGTTAGACTTTCTGCCTCTTGTAAGCGAGAGTTCAAACAGATACCAGATGTCATCCGACAGTGGGAAGTTGCTATTTTGTGTGACACACAATGAGGGAGCTCCCGTTGTCAGATGGACAGGTTTTGTATAGTTTGTTTCACAGTGGGCATGCTACAGAATCTAGAGCAGATGAGTTGGCTGTGAGTCTGTGAGTGGCAGCAACAGAGAAGGTCGGAGTGAAAAGGGGCCTCTCTCTCTCTTTTTTTTTTTGCATTTAAAGAATGTTTTGGCGGGCAGTGGTGACGCACACCTTTAATCCCAGCACTTGAGAGGCAGAGGTAAGTGAATCTTTGTGAGTTCAAGGCCAGCCTGGTCTACAAAGCAAGTTCCAGGACATCCAGGGCTATACAGAGAAACTCTGTCTTGAAAAACAAACAAACAAATGTCTTGGATGCTAGCAATGTGGCTCAGCCGGGTGAAAATACTTTCTGTCCAAGCCTAATGACCTGAGTTCAAACCCTTGAACCCCACAATGGAAGGACAGATACCAGAGGGCGGTCCTCTGACATCCATATGTGCACAGTGGCAGTTTTTGGCTATTATGAATAATACTGTTATGAATATTGTTGTGCAAGTGTCCTTGTGCTATGATTGAGGAGCTGTAACATGATTTAATAAAAAACCCAGAGACTGATATGGGGTTCAAGCTTCAAGCTGAAGATCAGAAAAACAAAGCAGCCGGCCACTAGTTCTTACTCTACCTCAGGCTGAAAAGGCTGTTCTGTCCTCAGGGTGGCTGGAGAATAAATATGTCCACCAAACCTCAGACTGCAGTCCCAGATTGCTGACTCTTAACTTTTTTTGTTTTTGTTTTTTTCGAGACAGGGTTTCTCTGTATTGTTTTTTGGAGGCTGTCCTGGAACTCACGCTGTAGACCAGGCTGGCCTCGAACTCACAGGGATCCACCTGCCTCTGCCTCCCGAGTGCTGGGATTAAAGGCGTGCACCACCAATGCCCGGCCTCACTTTACACATTTTTAGTAGGTTCTTTTCTGAATCTGGTAAACAAGGAAAATTATAACTAAACTATCTAGTCTTCAACTCCCTCAGATACCCAAGAAGGTATTAATAGTAACTGAGTGAACAGGAAGGACAAGGAAGCAACTTCCGAAAGATGTGAGAAATGACAGAAACAGCTGGCTGCTTGGACAGTCACCCAAGGTTCCTCTGCAACATTGGGGCATCCGCCTTTAGCCTATAGGGTAGCATCTCTGACAGACTTTTCTGGGAAGCGGGATATTCTGAAGGACTGTCCCACTTTGTCTTGGCAAGGTTTGCAGTCACACTCTTTGGTGTCCTGTTTGTCCAATTTGGACAGCATACCATCAGCATTTGAGGCAGGGGCACTTCCTTGCCCAGTGGCTACTTCAAAGAAAGTAAACTCCATGTGGAATTTCTTTGATGCCCATCATCTTCTCTGACATAGATTGGTGCTGCCAGGAGCAGACATGTCTCATTAGCATAAAAATCCATGTTATTAAAACATCTTAAGTGCCATTCTGTAGATCTTTGAAGTGTTTGAAGATCTGCCTTTCTAAAATATATCTCTGACCTTGAAAACGTACCTAATGTGACTACAAGTTCTATTCTATTAGGTGACTAATTATTAACCTACATATTCTTATTATCTTATATAGTTGGCAGTAATAACTTTCGAGGACTAGAAATTGACATTACATTGTTAAATGAACTGTATAGGTACAATACCTTGAACAAGATTAGAAGAATATGTACAGTATGTTTTAACAAAATTAATCTCAAATTTGTATCAATACATATTTGTATGCAATATACAAAAGTCCAGTTCAGTGTGAAATGTTTAAAACTAGTCATTGCCTTTTAAAAGTAGATTCAATAATCTACCTTTTTAATCTTATCATAACTATATCCTCCCTTTTTTCATTTCAGAGTAGATTCAATAATCTATTCTTTTATCCTATCAAATCTGTATCGCCCCCCTTTTTTACCAACTACAACTTGTAAACAATCCCCCTAAACAATGACAAATATCCATAACACAATGAAAGACCAAACACCACCCACACCACCTCTTTGGAATGTGGGTGTAATTTATTAAAGTTACTTCCTGCTGTATGGGAGGGAAGGATCTTGAGGGGAT